TTCCTGATGAACCTTCTGTCACTGGCGACATCTCAGCTCACATGCACGTGTTGTCCACCATTCTCGACTCGGGAACCACAAGCACCCTCATCAGTGATCGCACCATGTTCTGGACCTACTCGATGGAGGATCCAGTCGTTGTCAAGACTGCAAACCATGGATCTCTCTCCCCACTTCTGGACGTAGAGATTGCGTCATGTGGCTCAAGATTGGCAGTGATCGCCACCACATGCGGCTGTCCAACTGTCTCCACGCTCCCGGGGCTATGCTCAACTTGCTGTCCATCAGTTGGATGCTAGCGAAGGGCTGGGAGTGCAACTTCCATGGAGCACCTGCCCGCTGTGAGCTTGTTTATAGAGGGTCATTGCTTGGTACTCTCCCCATGACAGGACAACTCTTTTATGTCGACCTTGAGTTCATACCTCCTCACCAGCCTGTATCTCTTGTTCAAGAGGTCTCAGCATTTGCATGTGTCTCCCTCACCTATGATCTCTGGCATGCCCGCATGGGCCACACTGGAGGTGAGTCTGTGTACCGTCTTCCTCGCACTGCCCAAGGGTTCTCTCTGGATTCCAACAAGCCCATATCTCGGTGCAAATCTTGCATCATTGGCAAGCATGCACGTCAACCTCACCCCACGTCAGAGTCCCCACCAGCATCTCGCTTCCTCGAACTTATCCACTCCGATGTCTGTGGTCCGCTTCCCATTGAAACTCCTCACCACAAGTGATATTTTATTGTCTTTCTTGATGATCACACGGGAATTCTGGATCTTCAGCTCCTGGCTACTAAGGATCAAGCCTTGGATGCCTGGCGCACTGTTTGTGCACAATGGGAAAATTGTTCGGGTCTGCGCATTGTTGCTTTCCGTTCCGACAATGGAGGAGAGTTTCTGAATGAGGCATTCACTATGGACCTTGCACAGGCTGGGATCAAGCGTCAGCTCTCTGCACCTTACTCTCATCAGCAGAACGGTAGGGCAGAGTGCATGATTTGCACTATTGAGGGGCACATGTATGCCATGCTCACTTATGCATGTCTTCCTCGCAATCTTTGGGGTGAGGCCGCTCTAACTGCAGCAGACCTGTTCAACCGCACCGAGTCACACGCCTTGCCTGCTGATAAGACACCTTATGAGATGCTTCACAAGGTCAAGCCTGATCTCTCTCACATCCGAGTATTTGGTGCTTGCTGCTTCACTCACATACCCTCCAAACTCCCAATGAAACTCAGCCCGAAATCACGCGAGGCTTACTTCATGGGCTATGCCCCTGGTGATCAGGCCTGGCATTTCAGAGACAAGGCGACCAGTGTGTTCTTTAACTCACATGACGTAATCTTTGACGAAACATTCTCAGGCCATCCATTCCCATCAACGGGTGATGATGACTCAGAAGAAGAGGATTCTGCCGTGTCCTGTCCCTCTTCCACATCGTCCTCTGCCACATCAACCTCTGTCTCTCCCACATCCTCCCTGCCAACTTCAACTGTTCCTACACCACCTACTGCTAAACCTTGTCGCTCTGAACGATCGCGCATGCCCACCACACGTGGACAGCTCTTCCAAGAGCAGATTGCATCTGACAAAGGATGTCTGGCTCGTCAGCGTGAGTTGCGTCAAGCGCGCATCCAGGGGGTGCCTCCTCCTCCTGAGGGGGTGAATGACGTGCCTGCCTCACCTGCTACCTCAGATCCAGATGCTATTGTCCCAGACGAGGATGAAGTTGGATATCCCTGCATGCTAGCCAGCCTGATCGCAACCGAATTTGCGTGTGTCACCATTCACAGTGACACTCGTCAGAATCCACTCACCTCAGACTACAACATGAAGATTCCACCCACCACCTTTGATGAGGCAATGCAACACTCCGATTGTGACCAATGGTTGGCTGCAATGCGCAGGGAGATCAACCTAATGTCGGAAATGAACATTTATGAGTTAGTAGAGCTACCAGAAGGGCGGAAGGCAATAGGTTGCAGATGGGTATTGGGGTTTAAAGATGATGCAAAGGGAGGGTCTGTGCATAAAGCACACCTTGTAGTGCAGGGCTTCTCACAGGTTCCAGGAATCGACTTCGGCAAAACCTTTGCTCCAGTGGCGAGACCATCATCCATTCACCTTCTCTCAGCATATGCAGCGGCCAAAGATTGGGAGCTCGACAGTTTTGATGTGAAGCAAGCCTTCTTGTGGGGGAAGTTACACAAGGACGTGTACATGCGTCAACCACCCGGTTTTGAGCAACCACGACATGATGAAGCGAGTTTGGTGTGTCATCTGTTGTCCTCACTCTACGGGCTGAAGCAAGCCACATACGACTGGTACGAGCTGTTACGCACAGTCCTCGTTCATTTGGGCTTCGTCCATTGCGAGGTTGATTATGCTGTATTCGTCTATGATCACGTCACGGATAAGGGGGTGCACGTAGTTTGCATCATCGCCTGGCACGTCAATGACAGCCTTGCAGGTAGCAATAGCCGGAAGTTCCTTGATTGGATTAAGGGTTGTATTGCTGAACGTTTCGGGATTGCAGACCTAGGACCAGTCATCAAACACCTAGGTGTTCAGTATGTTTGCTCTTGCACCACCCAAGAGCTCTGGATGCACCAACAGGACTACATCATGCATCTCCTCAAGGAACATGGCCTTCGCAAGTGCAATCACGTCTCCCTTCCAATGGACCCATCCTTCCCCTTCGGCTGCGACACTGACGTGTATCCTGACATCAACAATCTCGCATCAGAATATCGCAAGCTCATTGGAGAGCTACTCTACCTTGCGATGTACACTCATCCTGATATTGCACTTGCCGTCATGAAACTATCCCAGCACAACACCAACTCAAAGCCTCATCATTACGCTGCCGCCAAACGTGTCCTTCGATATCTCGCCGGCACTATTTCTTACTGTGTGCACTATGGGGGCAAGAATGCAGATACAATCGTCCATGGCTTCAGTGATGTGGACTGGGCCACATCCCCAGAAGATTGCATTTCCATCACTGGATACATCTGGTACTTTTATGGCGGCCCTATCTCACATGCTGCAAAGAAGCAAACCACCCAGGCATTGTCATCAGTAGAATCAGAGTACATGGCCTTAACAGGCGCAATCCAGGACGGACTCTGGATCAAGTCTTTCTGCGAGTGCTTGAAGATCCCACTTACCCTTCCTCTTCGACTCTATGCCGATAATACTGGAACTATAGCATTGTCCGAAGAAGCCGCCAATCACACTTGTACGAAGCACATTGACCTGTGCTATCACTTCATCCGAGGGCACGTCGAGGCCGGTACATTCTTACCCATATGGGTCTCCACTCATCGCAACAGTGCCAACATCTTTACCAAGGCACTTCCGCACAGCACGTTTGTGACTCACCGTTCAGGACTATCACTTGTGGTGGGTTGAGGGGGTGTGTTGGAGAACCAGGATGTTGGAGGTCCAGGATGTTATCATAATCCGGTGCATCATGCACCGGTGTATCATGCGATACATTGGAGAATCGCACTTGGAAGATCCGTGTTATGATATTGGTGCCCATTGGGGCAGATTAACTTAGGTATTGGGTCCAACCTCGCCACTTTGTGTTCAATCTCTGTTTCTTGCTCTAGCATAAGTACTTTTGTTCTTCTGCCATCTGCGTGCCTCAGTCGTTGATTCCAAACACTGAGGTATGCATTTCATTTGTCTTTTTCACATATACATGTACTTACACTTGGACTACCTTAGCATATTTCCAACAGGTACATTAGAATGAAATATAGTTGTTGATTCCCAACACTGAGCGTATTTCCAACACCTGCCACCTCAAGAACACTATAACTCTTCGCATCTCCTCGAGGAGGAGTTCAACTTCCTCCAACCAGCAGTTTGCACGCACGCGTGCCTTGCACCACTCAACTCGAACAGCTATCAGATGTAGTCAGTATACCATCTCAAATTAGAGCTAGCAGACTCACAATCCTGAACTCACTCATTTTCTGAGCTGCTATTGTCCACATGCGAGTCCAGCCAGATCCAAGAAATAGTACCAGTGCCTTGTCTCTCCATGTTGCCCATAGGCTTCACTTGTGAGTCCAGCAGTGGGGGAAGGGACATGTCCCAGCCAGACTTATTGAGTCGATGGCCAAGAGCTAACAGCGCGTTACGCGCACACCGATACTTGTCAACACTAGCACATTTCCTCCGCTCCACACCTTCAATGAGGGCCTGTGCGTGGGTGGAAGCGGCCTGAACACATACATTTCAATCTTTGTAGATATACATGTGAGACTGGAGGCAGAGATGAGAATGGACCTCATTAAGGGCATCCAGTGCTTGTGCGTGACGTAGATCCCATTCGTGTTCAGCCAGCCTGTTGTGGCATCCTGCTGTTGGTTGGAGTTCAGATGGGAGCCAAAGCTTGACTGCCTCAGGCTTTAGCTGCACCATATTTGACACGCCAGTGTCTGAAGATCAATGACGGAGCTGGGACACAATGGGCATATATAGCTCTTGGACATGAGCCCAGGCATCCAGTCGACATTGGAGGGTGGTGATGCAAGTCTGCATGGTAGCCTTCTGCTTGTCCGTGGGATGAAGAGACACATTAGCGATATCCATTTTCAGGCGCTGTCTTGTTGGATGAGAGCTGGCTGAACCATCCTCTCTAGCTCTGCCAGTCCTTCCCCATGCTCCTTCTTCCACTTAACAGCGTCACGGATCTTGCGCAAGAGTGTACAACCTATTCACAGATAAGCACGAGACTTCCACCAGAGAAACAACACTGACCCTGCGCTGTAACTTTCTTCCAGTTCCAATCCCCGAAATGGTCATCAAGGGTATCTCAATGTGACCCTGGGCCCATCTCCTTTGTGCTTGTTGCAACACGATTTGTATTCGACCAACCACGCTCGGGAGCTTCACCATCTGTTCATCCCACGTGTTTCGACCAATTGAAGGAAAAGTTTCTTTGACATGTGTCAATGTGCGCCTTCAGGTGAAACTTCAGCACAAAAAGTCAGATGGTCATTGAGTCGTGAGGTATGTGAAACCTTGAGGGCATGCCTTCCATACACGTCCAGAGCTTCTTATGCCATTGACAGGCAATATCATACAATATGTTGATCATGGTTACCGTGAAGGCCAACAGTGCCGAGAATACGAGGTAGTCCATATTAATATATCTATATACAACAAATCAATCCATCAGTATGCACATGATATACGATGAAAGTACAATGCACTTTTTACCCTTTTGCAAGTCTCCAACACCATTGGCAAGCTTCATATCATGCCTGGCACAGTCTACTGTACCAACACCTGTTGTGGCCAGACCATGTGAAGACTTCGTATCTGCCAAATTAACGGCATTGTGACTGACACATGTACTGCGCTGTATACTACTAGTCAGATGAGTCACATCACATAATAGTAGGGTCATGTACTTACATCTTGCTTGACGCCAGCTTGATGGGCCAAGTATGTTTTGTAGTCAGCCTCCTGAATGAAATATGCCCACCCAGAGTTGAGGCTAGGGTCGACATTGTCTGATGACACAGCCTTGCATTTAAGCCTAAAGTTGGTGTCGATCGCGATGAACAACACATATTTCCACCTGGATTAAAAATAGTTCATCAGTATGAGGGCGTCACTATAATCGACAATTAAGACTGACCTAACTGACAGCGGTTCAGTTCTCCCAACCTTCTGGCAAATTTTTGCCAGGGTGGGGACATGCTGGGCACTGCACAGCCAATTCACCCGTGGTGGTGGCCTTGATGCCACCAGTATTGTGTCCTCTTCCTGCATGCCGAAGTTGCTTGAGATGTCGCCATTCATGGACCATGCACATGAATGCAGAGTAGTGATCCTAATGTCTCATGTCAGTATTCCGTAGTCACGATATTTTCTAGATACATACCTTTATAACCGACAGGCCAGCATTATTGTTCTGTCCTGCCAGTGAGTGGTAAAATTCGTAGGCAGACACTTTGCTCTTGAATGACAGAAGTTGGAAGTGTTCCATCAGAGTGAATGTCGCAGCAGTACGAGGGTCCGATGTGGTTGCTGGATACCAGCGTGTGCGGAGTAGCTGTTTGTAGTGAATTTGAGCGCTTGCACACACACAAAAATCGAGGGCAATCTCATGGACACCATGGATGTCGATAACAACAAACTTGTCACCAGAGGATGGACAAGGATTATAGCATCTCTTGCCTGGGGTGTGACCTAGCTGTACACGTAGACCCATCTTTTTAAGGGTGGTGGGCTGGAAGAACAAGTCATTCCACATCTTATAGGTATAGGCAACTGTCAGTGTTTGATACAGTGATAAAAAAATGTCTACATACATCAATCCTGTGCAGAGGATTCCCTGTGTGGTTGCAAAGTATGCACTCCTGGCAAAACATCTGCGTGCCAAAGCAGTCGCAGCATCGGAAACAGGGAGCATCAAGGCCACAACAACAGAGACCCTCTGGAGTTCCATGCCCCTCCAGGTGAAGTGTTTCATCCAGAAATATTTGACGCTCGTTCATCCACACTAACAGTGGTGAATCCTGAGGCATGATCAATAAATTAGAATAACAATCATAGGTAACAGTACTCACTGTGGCGGTGTATTTGTGAGACAATGTTTCACAACAATTTGTGACTCCTCTTGTTCTGGGAGAAATTCATCCCAGTTGCCCTCGAAAAATAGGCCTGCATCAGAACCATTGTCCAGGTAGTTGAAGATGGAATTTGGTGCTTGAATATAACGAGTGTGCAGTTGGGTGCGACCCTCGGTGGTGATCTCCTCTGTGTGAAGCCACAATAGTGGAGTACTGGCAGCAGAGGGTATGAAATGAGTTTGCTCGACCCAGGAACTCTTTGCTGAGCACCCGCGAGACATTGTACCTGTTCAACAGCCATCAGCGAAGGCCAGTGTTCCAGTCTCTAAAGCCCAAAAGAAGCTTGGAGAATCAAGTATTTCCAAGCTTCTTTCTCCAAGCTTCTTTCAGCTTTGAATATATATTATACCTACTGACATTACGGTTGTCAGTTATTCTTGCTTCCCTACCACCACTTGTGACTCCAACAAAAAACACAGATAAAAATGCTAATCAATGCTCACAACCAGTATGCAATCCTCGCAGTCAACTTCGCCTACAATCCCCTATGCACCTACCAGTGCTGCATCCCTGATATGTAGACACCAAGGTAAGCAAATCAACCTACTAGGTATTGTCAGAATCAAGCTCATAATCAAATATACCTACTAGACGTCATTTAGACGTCATTTCGCGTGCCCATTACCTCGTAGCCAAGCATTATAAAAATGTATTGTGCTGCTGGGAGAGCTTAAAGTAGCAATATTAGTAACTATAAGGTCGAGTAGACATATAATAATCATTGCACGTGCCACAAACAATAACTTCAAGGAGAATCTTATCATTCACATGTGATCTGCATGAGCTTAGTCACCTGGTCTTTGCTTTATGCGCACAAGTCAGTTGCCGTTCTTTCTCTTATATCCAAGGACTTACCTACAATGTGTTTTTGAGGATCTGCCTGGGCTGCATAAATACCTGTCTTGGTGAGTGATGTATCATTCATTATTTCATACTCCTCTGCTAAATCTTGTTATATGACTCCAATCCCACTGGCAGCTCCTTCCAGTCAGATGGACACTCTGGTGTCCGTTAGACTGGACGGTCTTATTGGTATCCTGCAGGGACTTGCTCTCAATGACAGGAAGGCAATATCTGATACATTGCTGGCTAGCATTGGTCAAGCTGATGCCAAAGGTGAATCTGTCTGTTTCTTTGATTTATCATGACTAATACTGTTCCAGAACCTGTTGCTAATGTGATGGATGCTTCTATCACCAATGTTTCTGTACCTGCTCCCGATACTCCTTCCCCTTCCATCAGCACAGCTCCTTCCCCTACTGCTACTGCAGTTCCTGCTTTCACCCCCATTGTCATCCCTGTCGACTCTGGTGAAGGGAAAGACTCCTCTAATGGTGAGGATGTAGATGTGTCTCTCACCAACGGCTCCACCCTTTGTTATCATCATGGCAAGTACTTTAATGTACCTATTGAAGCTAAGGCGCCCCTCTACTACATAACCAGGGGTCGTTACATTGGGGTCTTCTCAGGATGGTAAGTTTAGACAGGCGTCATTGATTGTGTTCACTAATAATCTTTGCGCAGGGATGCTACTAGCCCCAAGGTGCTTGGAGTTTCACGTGCCATATATCACAAGGTGGAATCTGTTGAGCAAGGTGCTGGGATTGTGAAGTGCGCTATAGAACGTGGTGAGGCGGCACAGGTAGATTAGTATTAGCTGGCACACATCCTTCAGTTGTCAATATCAAGCTATTTTTTGCTCTCATGTTCAGCTGTCTAAACTGAGCTTCAAGGTCATTATATTTGTTCGAGTGAGCAGAGGAGCACAGTGAAAATTTGAACCCACTCAAAAATAGCCCATGTGCCATAGGCTAGCTATTAATAACACTTAATTATATGTTTTGGTCCTACCACGTTCCACAACATACTGTTCTTGCCATTGCAAGTTTATATCTTAGCTGAATGGATCTCGGTGAAGGACCATGGTACTCTACAAGTCATTGTGCTTAGCTATCTCATTGCAAAATCTACGCAACTAGTTGCTGTTGGTCAATCATCGGTTCAACCTTTTTCAAGGATCTGGTTACTGACTTTACTAAAACTTAGGGGGACTTGGGTATTTGAATACTAGGTAAGCCCAGAATGATATTTCCTGCGAGGCAGCACTACCATAGTGCATATCACACTCACAGTTATTTTTCCACTAGCATTCTACCTAGCTAGCAGGTCTTGCTCAGTCACAATGTCTTAAGATTGTGTTATGGTCCGACCATCCTTGCACATCCTCACAGGTGCTTCGTTCACCAATCAAAGAGTTTTGGTTCAAACAAATGTAAGTGCTTGCTGTGATACATATCATACTGATTCATACACACATAGGTATCTTAATATTACCATTTCATTGAGGCAGTGGGTCTCTCTTGGACGCGCCATGTGTTATGGTCTGACCATCCTCGTGTGTGCTTGACAAATCGAAGACTCATTGTTTTGGTCCAAACAAATGTGAGTGCTCTGTATTATGCGTTCTTCCCTTTGACTTTCACTATCCATCATTATGGTACACCCAACTATTCATAAAACTCATCAAGATAGAGTACAGGCTGCGAGAGACAAGTGTAAACAACACTATCTAAAGTAAGCAATACACCAACGGTGTCTTTGAGTTGATTAATCAAAAAATTCCAGGTGTTGAGAGGCTATACTAGCAAAGCGGCGTCAGTTGCGCCAAGAAAAAAAAATTGTCCAGTCAACGATCCTTCAGATGATGAAGATGAGCCAATGTCATGTGGCTTTGATTTACATGTCTCAATGTAACTGACATTACCAACAGTGGAACTTTACATGACTGCATTGCCGCAGTCAAGCATGCCAAGGGCGACTTCATGGCTTATGTCAAAGCTCCACGAAGATTCTTTGACTTTCTCGTGGACGAGTACTCCAAGACTATGCCTGACCCCAAGTTATATCCTACCAGGCAAGGAGACAAATCTGTCTTCGAACACGCTATTGAAAATTTCGAAAACTTTATTGACAGAGCAAACAGCAGACTGGACGGTATCCTCCAGATGTGTGGTATTTGTGAGGAGTGGCGTGCTGCAGATGCTGTCTGCAAGTTCATGAGGGAAATAGTAGGGATAGTGGAAGACATTTTGTTGCATCTGGCAGATGGCAGAGATGGTGAACTGGTGATTGCCTTCATGGAGGGTGAGTTGTGGTACCAGGAGTACAAGTTCCCCATCTAGTGTACATAGTACTATGTACTTCTATGTATGTCCAAATTCCATGTATGTCCGTGGGACTATTGATTTGTGACAACAAACAGTGTGAAACATGCCTATACGCAAATCTTTCTGTGAAGATATCATGTACTGTCTCAATTGGTCTGGTCATGGCGCAATGGGACAACTATTTCTGGGAGTATGCACCGCATCTGTGGCTGAAGCAATCAGTACACGTCTGACTGATCTATTTCATTTTGTGTGTCTGACTTTTATCTAGGGCATCCCATGCGACACGACAAATCAGAAAAAGTGAGTGTAGATTACTTTAATGTTAGTGCGCTGATGAGTAGTCATTTAAGATGGCGCCATGTAGTTGGCTCTCAGAGGAGCAGCAGACCTTTGTTCTCACGTACCATGAGAGCTTTCTTGAGTGCAAAAAAAGGGGAACTACAACAATTTCTGGCCCCCATTTTTCAAGAAGTGGGAGGAAAATTGGCCAATCACTCTGGAAGACTCATCAGAGCCCCTAGATGAGAACACGAGACTCGAGCAGATAGCTAAGGCAAGAGATGCCCTTCAGACGGTAATATTTGTATCCTAATCAGTGTATTCAAATATCGGCTAATCACGTATGAACCTAGCGTTTCATGGTCAAACTACACAATGACTTTGGTAATTCGAAGATAGGCCGCCGGGCAAACACCGCTGGGAATACCATCGTCAGCAAACTGATCAGCGACATCACCATCAAGTCAGGCAAGAAGAAATCACTGTAGTGATGGTCGCGGTGTTGGGCTCAAAACCACATATTTCCATACTCACGTCAACACCCGAAACATATGTGCACATGTCCGAACCACTCTGTATCGGATCCGGTGCATCGGACCTTCGGACATCGCATCGGCTGATTGCACTTTGTGCGCACTTGTCCATCCCATGTCCTGTCCATCCGAACTAGCCTCACTAGGTGTGTAGTTATTCCCATGCATGTTTTCTGACATTTGTACCGCGTTATTACATGTCCGCAGCACCTCATGTCTTATTACATAGGACATTGGACCCGAAATATATTGCTACTATCTTCGCCTGTAGTTTTCCGAATTTCTACGTACTTACTTAAATACTCTGTAGTGACCCGTAGCTATCATCATCCAGTAGTTAGGAGCCGTTTCCCTGACTCTGCGGATCACCCAGAATATTCTTGTAGTTCTTAGTTGCATTGCGAAATATTACCATTCGTTCACCGTCATACTCCGTCACTTGTTATACTCGCGCATACCGCTCGCAACCCGACACTCGTTATAAAGTTTCCGACTCATTATTGTGAAGTCCGAAAGTCTGAAATCTCGGACATCGCACTTTGGCTTCAGGACATTGGATAAGTACCTTCGGACATCATCGGATTACCTTCGGACATTGTTTCGCACCATCAGACATTTTGTTATTTGCATTACTGACACATTTTTACAACTAATACCAATTAGCAATCCCTTTAGGATCGAATGCACTTGCTCTGCAAGTATAGCAGCATAGGTCGTGCTAAGATCTACCTAATGTTACAAGAACATCTAGACGCTTGGACCCCTACCATTTTTCTCCTAATCCTCCTCGTATCAGCCCTCGTGTCATACCCTTACCCCAACCTTACCCTTATTATCCTTGTCATCCTCGCATCCCCTTTTGCTCTCTACCTGTCGCTTCAGCAGAGCCAGTACATCTGGCCGGATCCTTTCGCTGACGAAGCATACCCATGCTCCGTTCCACCACCTGACTGATCCTGTGGACAGTCCCCTTGCCCTTACCATCCGGACGGTAACCTATGATCTGATGCACGATGCATCCCCTTTGCCCTTTTCCCTTTCTTGATCTCTGACTCAGTGCGCAATCGCACATGCGACTTATACTTAGATCCGCAGCTGCATGATCGTGCCCCTGCGCGTTTCACTTCTTATTTCGATCTTTGACTCACTTTCTTATCTAGCACGTTCTACCTCAACCGAACGTGCCTTCCTGTTATGGTTATACCCTTTACTGATTGCCTCTCCCTGGTAGTACGAGTTATCACCCACTAATACGTCTCCTGTCCTCTATATAAACTCGCTACCATGTACTATATTCCCTAACTTGAATCTACTTGGTTCTTGACCTCCTACTCTCACCAGAGTGATCCTTTCTGCCTCGCCAGCAGTCTATATTCTATCCTCTTATCTGCTCTTCGCGGATAAGCCTATAGTCTCGATCTTTACTCATCGACTTCGTCGACGAGCAAAGCCCCTGTTAACTAGTCGGACTTCTGTCCTTCTAATTAACGACGATCTTACGATTAACCTTCGGGTGTCGTAGGCCTTGGCCGATATAGCTTATCGTCTCGCACCCGCTTGACATAAGCTACCCGATTTGGACATAGGCGTCAAATCTTACTTGCCGAAGCCTCACCAAGTAAGACCCCTAACCTTGGGCTAGCCCAAGGACATCCTCGACCGTTGACAACACATGCTCTGTTTGAGCGTCGCCAACAGATACCATCCAAGTCGTAACAAAAGATTCAAGTTACCTTCTAGCCCTCGACACCTATCGAGGACAGAAACAGATACAAGACGACCACTCCCTGGACACGCAAGTTCTCTTGGGAGCGCGACCCGAATCAGGAAGATCCTGACGAAGAAGAGGTAGATGGACAGTTTAGCTCTCCCACCTCACCGACAGAGCAGTACCACTCAGACGAGGGACTGAACAACGAAGAAGATCTAGGAAACACTCCGACTTCTGAAGAGGACTTTCCAGACGAAGTACCTCCCCGAAACACTAGCGCCAATCCGAAGACAAGAATGTCTAACCCATCCTCCTCCACCGCCGTTGTAGTCCATGCCCCTGAACTCAAAGCAGGAGCACCAACGGACTACGATGGTAACACCGACGATGCACAACGATGGCTCTACAGCTTGAAGACGTATTTTCTCATCAATCCCACCATCTACTGCAGCGAGCAGATCATGGTCTCAGTCGCCCTGTCATTAATGACAAAGAACAGCGCTAAAGCATGGGCTGATAACTTCTATCGCGAAGCTTTCAGCACCAACCCTCCGAAATTTGGAACCTTTGCCGAATTCGAGAAAGGATTCAACCTTGCATTTCAACCTGTTGATAAGCAGGTGAATGCCCTCACCGAAATCGCCGAACTCAGAATGGGAAACAACATTACGGACTACATCTCGAAGTTCAAAATGTTGGCTACCATCGCCAATATCAAGGAAGGCGTGACACTCTCACACTTCTTTGAGAAAGGCCTGAACCCAAGCCTTCGCGAAGAAATCTACAGGAAGGAGACACTTCCTGACACTATCGAAAGTGG